CTTGCAGAAGACCCGAGTTTGAATCCCAGCACCCACATGGCAGCTAACAACTGTCCGTAACTCCAGTTCCAAGGGATCTGACAGCCTCTTCTGACCTCCATGGGCATTGCAGGACTCGGGTGCACTTACTTACACGCAGGCAATATATGCATACACATAAAAAATAAATAAAATTAAAAAAAGAAATAGAGGGTGTGGCTGAGAGGTAAGGCTTGGAGAGGGGCAGAACCTAACTGAGGTTGGGAGTTTGGATAGGTTTAGAAGTCACCAATCATGGTAGATATGGTCAGATCTTCATTTTTTACCTCCTTGCTGCCATGGGGGCTGGCTGATGCATGGCAGGGCTGGGCCTATCATAGCGAAAATGGACCGTGTCTTTGACCAAGTAGGGTACCCAGAGTGAGGGCAGGCATTGCTGATGTTTCAGGTAGTCAGGTGTTCACTGAGGGAGGTGAGGGCACCTGGACTTTGACTGGTAACATGTGAGTGGTGGAATAAGTGAGAAATATGTTGGTAACTTCATTTCCTTAAGACCATCTTCTGTGGGTCTCTTCTTCCCCTCATGGGCCATTGGCCACAGACCCATGAGAACAAAGGGAACAGAAGCGATGAATGGGGTCAGGATGGCCAGTGAGCATGACAGAAAAGACCTTCCGGGAGTCAGTTTCAGTGATACAGCTCGTTTATTCAGTGGGGGTCAGGGAAAAATATAGGGTGGAGGCGGCAGCCAAAGTTTTACATGATAGATGCTCATAGTATACTTTATTTACATGTGGTAGGGGGATCCTATCATCTGGCTATAGGGCAATGCCTAATTATCTATAGAAAAAACCTGGAGGCAGTTTTATTGCAGGTAACTATGCCAAAGTTCATGTTCCAAATAAGGCCAGGCATCCGTGCTTGGAGGCACTTTCCAGATAAGGTCAGGCAGAAAGCAGGAAGCCCCCACTGAGAAAGGGAAGTCCTCCATATAGCGCCAAGCTCCTTAGAGCTATCCAGACATGGTGGACTGCAACCTTAGCAGCAGGGTCCCCCAACAGTCTTCCCTGAGGAAAGTTCTTGAGTCCCATGGAGGCTGAGGCTAAAGGTATACATTTAGGAAATGTGGGCCTGAGGATGATCTATGTGAAGGGTTCAAGCTCAACTATGACCCCCTGGGCTTAAGGATACTCTGTGTGAAGTTTTGAGCTTAGCTATGAACCCCCTGGGAGAAGTCACTTGTAGACAGAGCAGAATTCAGTCTTGGTCCCTGATTAACCTAATATTCAGAGGCCCAGTGAATAAGGCGGAGGAGGCTCAGGACAGAAGGCTGGTCAAGGCTCTGGTAGACATAGTGTCACAGCTTTCTGAGGCCCTTTCCCACAACTCACATGGGATCCATTGATTGGCACAGCTTCATCCAGGATTCAGTCTCCCTCACAGACCTCTCTTGCCTCTTGCCCTTTGTGTCCATGGAAACTGTGGACCTGACCACATCTCCCTCCTTGAAGCTTGCTGGCAATTTCCTGTCCTGCTCAATCGACATCGGTTCCCAGGCCTGGTGCCTGCCTACCTCCTGCTCCCATCTGCTCACTCTGCCCTGGCCTGCTGCCTCCCGAGCAGTGTTGGCCCACTGGGGCATACTGGACTAGTACTTCTCTGTGAAATGCTCTTACCTAAGGCATCCTTTTGCCTTGCCCCTTCATGTCATTTGAGTTCTATCCCACATTTCATCTCCTAGAGAGGCCTTGCCATCATATCTAAAGCAACTCCCCACAGCCAGGCCCCTCAGCCTCTATCCAGTTCCTGTAGTCTTTAGAGTGCTGTTGCTCCAGGAGCACATTGTGACCTGCAGGGCTTACTTGAGCATCTCAGGTTAGGCTGCATACTCCGAGGGACCTGTGCAGTAGTGTCTGCAGGGGCAACTTGACGAGGGTGTGTTGGGGAAATGGATCAATGGCTTCAGAAGCCGTTGAAGGAAAGTGTTTCATGGCTAAAGGCTGAGCGCTGTAAGTATAGCTAGGAGTGGACTGGCGGGACACTGGTGACTGACTGTGGGGCTGGTCACGTGGAAGGCTGGTCACCTTGGGGAAGGATATAGGAAGAAGACAGATGAAAATATGACACAGGGTTCAAGAGAATGGAGGCAAGGGAAGAAATCACAGAGTGTGGCCCGTCTACCCTCTGCTGGGAGGTGATGAGTCTAGAGAGAGATGTGGACTCAGGAAAGTTCTTCAAGACAAGAGATAGAATAGCTAATCTAATCCAATTCTAATTTGATTACCTATTTCAAATAGCTGGTTACAATAAAAAGTAATAAAAATTAAGATGATGGGTTGGTGAGCTGGCTCTGTTTGTAAAGGTGATTGCTACCAAGACTGAAGACCGGAGTTTGATTCCTGGAATCCACATGGTGGAAGGAGAGAACTGACTGCCACAAGTTGTCTTTATTGGCCTCCACAGCTGTGCTATGGCATGTATAGACCCACAATAAATAAATAGAAAAAACATGAAGCTATGAGCCCATCTAATTGAACTCTGGCACAGCCCTGAGCTGCTGGTACAAGCTGCCTTTTACCCATCAGGAAGCCGTAAAAGGCTTATCAAACCTTTTGACATTGCAAAACAACATTGTCACCTACAAAATTCTCTCTTGAGAACTGTACAATCCAGTTTTTAAAATTGCAAACAAATTCATAGTGTTTTAGGTAAGTTTATGATCTTTGTGTTGAGCTGTATTCACAGCTGTCCTGGGACTCATGCATCTAGGGTGTAGAGAAGCTAGGGTGTCACAGCTTGTGTGGAGAGAACTGGTTTGGAGGATGTCTTCTAAGTCAAAGGCTGGTACTCTCTCCTCTAGTACTTTATCTCACTAGTCTATGAAGAGATCTCACAAACAGTCAAACAAGTCTTATTTTTCTTAGTACCCAAGAGATGGTACTCAGTAAAGCTGAGGGTGCTGGATCAGTATTGTCACACGTATCCTGTTGGCCTCAGCTGACACAGGAGACCTTTGGAAGCAAGCTGATGAGACAGTGGCTCTATAAACCCCTTTGAGAATTCAGGCCAAGGAAATAATGTGGTGTACCTAAAGTCTTGTATCTCAGAAGTACTTACAAAAAAGTTTCAGAAGAAATGGATCCACAATGCAGATGATGATAAACAAGTGGTGCCTTCATACAAGCATCATTTATACCACCAATAGTGCTACTTAGGAACACTATAACATATGGCATGGAAACATGATTATAGGGTGATGATTAATGGAAGAAGACTCAAAGATAAATGTCCATGATCCTTACCATAGATAGAATGTGTTCTTTGGTGCTCTTTTAGGATGATGAGATTGTGACTGCTTCATGTCCCCATTCTCCAAGTGCTGGTGACTGCTTTATGTCACCAATTCAGGATGCATGATTCTAAATGTGCACACTTGTTCCCAGATGCCCACAGCGTCAGTGGCAACCTGCCCTTGCACCTGCTGAGCAGGTGCTGACTTCTCCCTGCCACCGTGTGTTGCAGCTGCAGATCAGGTGCCACTGATGGAGGACCTGGAGCAGATCTTGCTTCGCTCCTGGCGCGAGTCACACCTGACTGAGATCAGGCAGTACCAGCAGGCACCTCCGCAACCCTTCCCACCTGCCCCCAGCACTGCAGCACCTGTGACCTCTGCACAGCTGCCCTGGCTGGCTGGCCTAGCTGCAAGCTCTTGCAATGACAGTGTGCATGTCATTGAGTGTGCCTACTCTCTGGCTGAGGGCCTCTCTGAGATGTTCCGGCTGCTCATCGAGGGTAAGCTCGCCAAAACCAACTATGTGGTCATCATCTGTGCCTGCCGGAATGCTGCCATTGACTCCTGCATTGCTGTCACCGGTGAGCCCCCCACACCCCCTGGCCCAATGGGAAAGCAACATTGTTGATTTCCCAGTCTCTCCCCTTGGCGGGTCCCCTTCTTTGGTCTTGGGGGCTTTGGGTTGCAAGTGTTGTCAGTGCCTGTCAGTGCCTATCCAGGGCTGCTGAGCCCTGGATAGCATGCATAGTTCCAATTATATTACAGCCATCAGTGACCGAGCTGTGTCCATTTGGTCCCTGGAGATAATAGGCCCAACTTTGGAGACTGGATTGCCTTGGTTGCAAACCCTGGCTCCACCAAGCACCTGGCACTAGGACGATTACTCACACCTCCACTCTGGTCCCCAGTCTATTTAAGGATCAGACTGAGCTAAGAAACAGTGACCTACTTGATGCATTAAGTACTAAAGCCATCACTGAAAACCCACCAGGTACAGGTGTTGCTCCAGGGGCTGGGACTGAGGATGCTATGTTAGAAGGCTTTTTTTTTTTTTTTTGGTGAGGCATACAACAGATGCACAGGCTTTGGGGGCTAGTTAAGTGTTCACAGGTGTTGTATATTTTTCAACATGAAGTTATTATATCCCTCTTTTGTTAAAAGTTCAAATTGTTTTTATGCAGTGTTTCAGTGGCTTTTTACCATTTTTTGATCCTAACTACGTTCACTGTTCTTTATTAATTCTATACCAGAATTTGAGGCCCACCTTCATTAAAAAACTCAATGCCACGGCAGTGTATCTGGCACGTTTTCTTGTGTCCTATGAGACTGACACTGCTGTTAGCCCCTGGGATAGATGAGGATGGTGGGTCTGAAAGGTGAGGGAACCTGTGTCACATAGTGAGATTCAAGGTCAGGCCCAAGGGTTTTCTGTAAGTGATCTTGCCCTTTTCAGTCCCTTATATTTTTTCCCCCTTGGTTTGGATTTTGCAAGCCTTTGAATCGTTTGTCAGATTTGGTTTGGGGCTTGGGGTGGATCTAGAGGTTAGGTGTGGACCCTGTCACCAGAGAGCTCATACTGATTGCAGGCCAAGGACCCAGCGACAGTCACTGTTTACCTTTCAGGGAAATACCAAGCCCGTATTCTCTCCGAGAGCCTCCTTAGCCCCATGGAATACCAGAGAGAAGTTCATTATGAGCTGGTCACTGGCAAAGTGGATTCCCTGGGGGCCTTTTTTAGCAGCCTCTGTCCAGGTAGGCTTGTGGGAGGCAGGTGCAAATGCTTGTGTTGAAAAGAAGTGCAGAGGGAGGTTGTTGGGATCCCCTTGTGCCTGGGCCAAACTTCTCTGCTTAGTCCACCATTGTGTATACTGACATTTCCTCTGTCTCCTGTATGTTGCAGTGCTTTCTGTCTGTCTTTCTGCTCTGGCAGTAGAGTTCCTGAGGGGAGGGGGCCTTTGTGCTTTCTGTCTGTCTGTCTCTGTCGCTCTTTTTGAGAGACTGGCCTCAAACTTACAGCAGTCCTGTCTCAACCTCTCAAGTGATGGGATCATAGGGGCAAGCTACTGTGTCTGGCTTTTCCTGTCTTTAGTGTCCTTTTCTCTCCAGTCCAGTGGCTGATTCAACCACTTGAGCCCTAATTGCCCAAGACCTCTCCCTGGAGAGTCCCATCCTCTGTACTCCCCCCACCGTCCAGCCTGGCTCCTAGTCACTCAGGACTCATTTCACACCCTCCTAGAAAGCTCTATGGACCGACCCTTCCCTGGGAGGACTCAGCCCCCACATTATTTAGTTCCCCATTCCCACTCTGTCCCATCACCTACTGGCTATGGTATGACTCACTTTGTGAGCATACCTCCTGCTCAGGGAGGCCAGGCCTTCTTCACCCTTTGTTTCAGGCCAGGACCAGACACAGTAGCTGGTCCAGAGAGGTTTTCTGGATTTCTCTGAGATACAAAACCCACTTCTATTCTTTCTGTTTTGAGCAGAGGGTGACATTGACATTTTGCTGGACAAATTTCACCAGGAAAATCAAGGCCACGTTTCTTCCTCACTCACTGCTTCCTCTATCAAGAAAACAGCCATGCTGGATGCCGGTGGGGTCCCTGTGTGCGCAAGTGAGTGGCGGGCACAGGTGTACATAGTAAATAATCGAGGGTGAAGGGAAGAGGACACAGGTATGCACAGTGCGTGATGGAAGGAGTGTGTACATGTGTGCAGTGAGTGATGGCAGGAGTGTGCACAGGTATGGACAATTAGTGGCGGAGTGAGTGGGCACAAGTGTGCCCAGCAAGAGATGGGGAAACCGGGAAACTGGCAGTGCTGGGTTTGGATTGCTGAGGGGACATTTGTCCAGAGCCTTTGAGGATGGAACACTTCTGAGGTATATCTAGAAGGCAGCCATCTCTTTAGCCTTGAAATAGACCTAATGACTGCTTTAAAATCTGGTGTTTTGATGTAAGTTCCTCCTTTTATCCTGGCATAGCCACATATTGGGAGGGTACATCTTAGTGCTTTTTTTTTTTTTTCCAATGAATTGTTGAAATTGTTTATTCAGATGAAGTTCTGAGGCACTGTGATCATTTCTTTCCTTTGCAGGGAATGTGGTACCCCTTCCCAAGTCTAGTGTCAATGCCCTCTCCTTTTTTGCCCCAGTACATCACTGCTTCTCTTTTGTTTCCTGAGTGTTTTGTTCAGACTTGATTATCAAAGGAAGGAGGACATGTTAGAGGCTGCCCCAGTGCTGGCTGAGAGCATGCTCTTGGATATGACCGCATCCCTGTTCCGCATGGCTTTGTGCGCCTAGGCCTCCCCATGCCCTGGGGCTCACTCTGGTTCTCTAGCTGAGGGCTGTAGCTGCCTGATGCGCTCATCCAGGATCCCTCTGGGGCTCTGGCTACAGGTTACCATCTGGAGCCGCGGGGCGTCCGGCCCTTCCAGCTGGCAGTGGCACAGAAGCTCCTCTCCCACGTGTGCTCAATCGCAGATTCCAGCACCCAAAATCTGGACTTGGGATCCTTTGAGAAGGTGGACTTTCTAATTTGCATACCACCGTCAGAAGTGACCTACCAGCAGACTGTGTTCCATGTCTGGCATTCAGGTAGGGGCCTTTCTGGGAAGAGTTAGGAGGCCTGTGGGAAGGAGCTTTGATCTACTTACCTTCACATGTAGATGTTGTTGTGACTCTGCTGAGCACAGTTGGAGCGAGTATTATTGTCCCCCACATATAAGCCACAAAACATGTTCAAAGACAGTGACTTGTTCAAGATTCTAGCACCTGTCAAAGGTAGACCCAATAGTTGACTTTGTGTTATTTTTCTCTAAGTTCAGTGGCTGGCTGCTGGTAACTGGCATTTCCGTAGCATGTTTTATCTCTTCAGTGGCATGGTGTAGGGGCTGTGGCTTGAACCTGAGACTGTTTTGCTGGGAGCTGGGGCCTTTCCCTTCCCTTTAGTCTTACCCATTTGGGTAAGCTAGGAGCTTGCTTGGCTGGTACCCCTGGGTGGGTCACTGTGCCTATAGTCACAGCTCCTCCCAGCTCTCTGGGCAGAAGAGTTTGGAGATAGTTTCTTGCCTACACATCTCTGCTGCCTCCATTCCTACAGCTGTGCTGTCACCCTTGAGGCAGGCCTCAGAGGCTGGCCCCAGGTGTCTGTGCTGAATGAACCCAGGGACAATGTTGTAGCTCCTGAGGTGTTCTGATGTGTTACAGGGGTTCTGCTGGAACTGGGCCTGGAGAAAGAACCTGTGACCAAGCAGAGGGTGGAGCAGCATGTTCTGAAGCTAGACGTGGAGGCCCAGGCAAGATTTAAGGCCTTTCTGCAAAACTCCTTCCAGAACCCTCATACGCTTTTTATCCTCATCCATGACCACGCCCACTGGGATCTAGTGAGGTTAGACCTCCTGGTCTGTGACAGTGTCATGTTCCTTCTTGGGGCTGAGGGCACAAGTCTTGAGTGAGTGCTGGGGCTTGCTGTTTGTAAGCAGGGAGTGGGGTGGTTTTCAGTATCTTAGAACTCAGTGTCATCTCAAAGATTCCCCAGTGCAATAGGTTAAGGGCTTCAGAAGGGAACATTGGGCAGACTCAGGGGCTGTGTCAGAGGTGTTAGTGGCAGAGCCGGCCTCGAGCCACAGTTCCTGAATTGCAGTCAGGGGCTCAGCAACCATACTAGTGTATGCTGGGTGAGGCTTTCCCTGAGTCCTCCCTGACACAGCTCAATCCTACTTTGAACCTTTATCTTTTCTGAAGGGCAGGTGATTTTACTTAATTGAAATAATGTCACTAGATGAATAATCTAGTTGGTCATTGAGGAGACTCTTGGGAGCCATTCACCTCTAAGGGGCTGGCTTTGGGGTTATACAGCTAGATGTTGTCTCTGATGTAGGTGAAGGAGGAAGGAAGTTCCTGGACCGGGTCACAGAGCAATGTTTTGATTCCCACGGATTGGAGCTATGTAGGGCTGGTCTGGGCCTAAAGGGATTACAATCCAGGGTCTTTCTGGGAATTTAGGGACTTTGAACATCCTGAAGTGACAGATGCTGTTCTGTGAATTTTCATTTGGGAGATATTTTTCAGAGTAATTTCCTGCCTCCTGGAAGATGAAGTACTGGTTTTTCTGTCTCCTTAGATTTAGAGAGTACTGAGGCCATTCTCTGTCAGAGAAAGACTGAGCTAGGCCTGATTTCTAAGACCCCTTGTCCAAAACACCTCCCATTCCTTTAATGTTGCCTTCTAAATTCAGGCAGAGTTTGCCCTGTTATATTCTCTTTGGAACACCTCAAGTCAGGGAGACTTTATTTTGTAGGGTTTTCGTTTATTTGTTTGAGTCAGGACCTAGTCTCATATACCCTTAGACTGGCCTTGAACTCACTGTTTGGCCAAGATTAATCTTGAACTTCTGATCTTTCTGCCTCTATCCCCCAAGTGTCAGGGTCACAGCCATCATATCTAGTTGTATATGGTGCTATGGGTCTAACCCAGGGCTTTAGTACATGCTAGGCAAGCGCTCTGCCAACTGACCTACATTCCCTGCCAAATCAGAAGGTTATTAGAAAACTCATCTGGTCCTTGAATCTTTTCCTTCCTCACTCACAACCCTGTCACCTTTTTGCACACAATTAGATTGAGCGTGAGTGCCTATTCCGGGGTAGACAGACTATATATCTTCTGAGAAATCCACTAAAGTTCTTGTCCCACTAGTCAATTTTTCCACGAGTGCTGAGTACCAAGAGAGTCCCTTACAGGTGCCTGAAGCGCAATCACTTTTCTTTTCCTAGTCATGAACAGAGCATAAACTTCACTGTAGGCTAAGCTGGGAGCTGGTTATAACTTTATTTAGCTGCCTTATCTTTATAAAATTATAAAGCAGCATTACTAATGCTATTTAACATATTCTGTTGTCCACCTTCAGCAGTGCTGTTCATAACATCTACTCTCAAAGTGACCCATCTGTGGGATTGGTGGACAGACTGCTCAACTGCAGGGAAGTGAAGGAGGCGCCCAACATTGTGACCCTTCATGTGACCTCGTTCCCGTATGCACTGCAGACACAGCACACCCTCATCAGCCCCTACAACGAGATCCACTGGCCCATCTCCTACAGTAATGTGAGTGCTGCCCCACCCTGGTATAGCCAACACGCTTAAGTCTGGAGGCACTGAGTTTAGCAAAAGTCTTGGTCAATGTAGTTGGGGATGGCAGAGCTCCACCTCCTTGGATCTTGGTTTGACCTAGGGTCAGATTTAAATCCTGCTTGGCTTTTTGGAGACACGTTCCCGAAGTCTATCAGTGGGCTGACCCATCTTGAAGGTGTAACTTGGTATACAGTTGGTTTGACATCTTCTCAGGTGACTGAGCCTTTGAGCAGCATTCTGAGCATATGTTCTTATGGCATTGGATAAAGACATTGAAAATGGGGTCCTTGGAGACAGTGGAGGTTTGGGCTTCACACAAAGTGGCTCTGTGTAGCTAGCATGTCCCTGCTTCCTACTCCCACATCCATAATCAGCCAGGTTCAAATTGAACCTACCCCTCTTCCCTTGGAGGCTTGTTTTGGCTTGTCATCATTTTATGATGTAGAAGCCCAAAACAGTTCTGGTAACTTGAAAATTCTGCGTGGTTAGATTTTAGCTAATTACTCAGGGAATAAGTAACATAGAACTCTGGACTTCTTCAGAGTGCTTAAATCACCTGAAGAACTCCCAAGGATATGGATGTTTGATTTCTGTCCCATGGTGTCAGGGTCAGTGTTTCGATGGCACTTTGCATGGTCCCCACTTTAAGAGCTTTATACTCATGAGCTCATGTAAAGGGGCTCTCAAAGAGAGTTTCTGAATTGCAAATGGTGAGAATAAGAAGGAGGGGTTGGGCCACTTGTATAGGACCACTGTAGGGTCCTATACTGGCTTTCTGGCCCTGACACTTAATCATTCTGCTGTTTGAGAATAGAACTCACACCTTTGTATTTTGAGCAACCTCTTCCAACTTTGTTAGGCTGTCAAGTCCGAGGAGTTTCCATGTTACTTTGGGAAGAATTTTGGATGATTTTTTTCTATTGTTTTTAATAGCAACTGAATGCAATATATTTGATTCGTTTAATTCCTAAAACCATCTTAACATTGTGAAAAGAAACATTTTTAACAAAGAAGAGTAAGAAGAAAAAATAAGACTGATTTTTTTTTCCTCCTCTGGTGAAGGTATTAAAACCAAATGATTGGGAAACTTGACTGGTGGGAACACAGTATCCTTGAAGTACTCTTCTCCTTGCTCTAGGCCTGCAGAATTGAGTTTATAAAGTACCACTCATGGAACCATGGGGGCAGCAGTGCTTAGATTAAGCTGCCCATTAGGGCTGTCCACAGGCCTGGCCTGTGAATCCCCAACCTTCCCTGCAAATGTGACCTTTGAATGACTGATATTCTCTGTTTTAGGGAGTGGACTTGTATCATGAAAATAAGAAGTACTTTGGGCTGGCCGAATTTATTGACTCCACCTTGTCAGGACACAGCCTCCCCTTGCTCAGATATGATAGCTCCTTTGAGGCCATGGTCACTGCATTAGGAAAAAGGTACACATTTCTTTTCAAAGTTACTAGAAGTACTCAGTAGCTCAAGTGTGAGTGGAGGTCTGTCTAGTTTGGTTTCTGTGTTGCTGTGATAAAATATTGACCAAAAGCAACCTGGGGAAGAAAGGGTTTATTTCATCTTACACCTCCAGGTCACAGTCCATCATTGAAGAAAGCTAAGGCAGGAATTTGAGGCAGAAACCGTGGAGGAATGCTGCTTAGTGCCTTGCCTCCCCTGGCTTGCTCAGCTACTTCTATAGCCCAGGCCCACCTACCCAGGGATGGCACCATCCACAGTGGGCTGGGCCCTCCTACATCAATTAGTAATCAAGAAAATGTTCTACAGACATGCCCACAAGGCAGTCTGATGGAAGAAATTTCTCAATTGAGAGTCTGTCTTCCCAGGTGACTCTAGTTTGTGTTAAGTTGACAAAAACTAACCAGTACAAGGGCTGAACATTTGGGCCAGGGAATTCCTGGAAGGGAGTTTGCCTCTTTCCACCCTGGGTGACTTAGTCCCTACATCAAAGGGACTGAGTTTATTTCTTCTACATTTGACTCACATTGGGTCGGTAATACTTGTATCCTGCTATTGCTCTGGGACATTGTAAATTTTACCTTGTTGAGTGTTAGATATGTTTTATTCCTTTTGAGTTTTATACTTGGATGCAATCAAGTTGTTTAGAAACAGTTAAATCCTTTCAGGTCTTATTTTTCAGTTTTCCTGGGCAGCAATAGGATAGTATTTAATCTAGTGCTAGCTACCTTTGCCATAACTAAGGCAAAGCCCTCTTAGTAAGTTCTCTACAATGTTCCAGGACACTTGGGTCTTCCACATAGGGTGTGGGGAAGGTAACTATTCCCAAACACATGTGACTTTGAGGTATTGCTCCTTCTAATCTGTTCTAATCCAATAAGAGCCTTTCCAGGACTGATGAGATAACTCAGTCAGTAAAGGGCTTGCTGTGCAAGCATGAAGGCCCAAGTTAGGATCTCCAGCACTCAGTGTAAAAGCCAGATGTGGCAGCATGCATCTGTAACCCCAGCAATGTAGAGGCAGGTGATCTCTGAGACTCACTGGCTAGCCAGTCTAGCTAATTGGTGAGCTCCAGTTTCAGTGGGAGCTTGGAGAGTAAATGACTCCCAAGGTTGACTTCTGGCCTCTATATACATACCCACACATGTGCACACATATGCACATGCCTCTGTATGCACATGTGCACACACTCATATGAAAATGTATATACATATATCTTCCTATACACTAACTTTTTAAAATAAGTCTTTCCTTGGCCTAGGTGTGAAAATGTACACACATATACCTCCCTATACACTAATTTTTTAAAAGAAGTCTTTCATTGGCCTGAGGAAAAGAAGTCTTTCCTTACTTGTATGGCCCAGTCCCTGCTCCTCCTCTGGCTCTCTGGTGCTCTGTCCATGAAGCTTTCTCCTGGATACTTCACCCTGTCATCTCAAGCTGCCTTGGTTTCCCTGGACTCCAAGACCTCTGCTCAATTTGAGGGGACCACTGAGCTTTGCCTGGTTCCCCCTTCCTGAGCACATCACAGAAACTCTTTCCAGGAGGAAGGTGGGAGCTCACCTTATTTGTGTCACAGGGTTCAGGACCACTCTTGCTGTTCAATGTCCCTGACCTTGAAGCACGTTGCTTTATTCATTTACTTCTGGTGGGAGACAAAGCTGATCCCTGTTATTGCACTTTGACTGGAAGCAGATCGCTGCCTGTTCTTTGAGCAGAACTTATTTCTACAGTATTATTATTATTATTATTATTATTTTTTTTTTGAGTGCCATTTGGCTAAGGTACCAGGGTCAGAGCAAAACAATCCTTGGACCACCAAGTACCCTTCATGCCAGAATTCCAGGGCCAATTATACCTTTCTGAGGCTACAATAGCCCGTTTTCCAGACCAGCCCTCCACTGTTTACAACCTCAGTCAAGTACTGAACTATGAAGAGGAGTAGGGACTGGGCAAGAAGGCATGGGTAATGTCATGGGTGGGAGGAGTGCTGGCAGAGGTGGTAGCAAGGCAAGCTGGCCGCCCTGATGGGATACACATGGTGGCAGATCCACTTGCCTTTGCTTCCCAAGTGCTGGGTTTCTGGGGACTTGTTCAGCTAGAATTCACAAGAACGTCATGTATAAACTTGACATCAATTGATTTCTCTTGGGAAACACAGTGATCTCTAGCTTTTTCCAGCAGTGCTTACATGTTTCCTGTTGTCTTGTTGTTGTTTTGAGATAGGGTTTTCTTGTAGCCACAGCTGGTCTGGAACTTGCTAATATAGACCAGTCTGGCCTCTATCTCATAGAGATCGCCCACCTCAGCCTCCTGAGTGCTGGGATTAAAGGCGTGCACCACCACACCTGGCTCTTTCTTTCTTTTTTAATCCCTATGTATATTTACAGTGTGTACACTTTAATGTGAGTCACTTTAGGTATGTATGTGTCATGCACATATGTGGTTGTCAGAGAACAACTTTGGACGTTGGTCTTCCACCTTGTTTCAGAGTCTCTTGTTTATTTTTCTACTGAGTGTGCTGGTCTGTGAGCTTCCAGGGGTTCTCCTGCCCCTCCCTCCCATCTCCCCATAGGAGTGCTGAGATCACACATGTGAGTGCTACTGCATCTGGCCTTTATATGAATGCTGGGATTTGAACTTGGGTCCTTATGTTTGTACAGCAAGCACTTTACTACATGAGCCATTTCCCCAGCTCCCAGGTCTGTTTCTGACAAGTCAGAGTCATGCATGCAGTCATGGGAATAGTCACTGGTGTGTGGGGACAGTGTGGTGACCACAGTTTCTGAAGGGATTCTTGGCTTGACTGCATATATTCTTGTGTATAATTCATCTGTCAAATTAGACATCTGGCTATGTCTCTAAGAGCTCACTGTAATAAAAATGACTCCAGTACTGCCTTTAGGATGGTCCCCGAACCTTAGGGCCTTGGAAGCTGCATTTCCTTTTTTGTTCTGTTTTGTTTGTCTTGTTTTGTTTTGTTTTTTTAAAATTAGTTTAGTTTTTGGTCTTTTTTGAGACAGGGTCTTCTGTAGCACCAGCTGGTCTGGAACTTACTATGTAGACCAGGCTGTCCTTGAACTCACAGAGATCCACCTGCCTCTGCCTCCCAAGTGCTGGGATTAAAGACATGTGCCACCACACCTGGCTACATTTGCTTATTGATTGTTGGTAGTTCTCCTGTTTCTAGTGGGAACCTGGCAGCTGGTCACATTGTGTCCACAGTCAGGAAGCACAGAGAGATAGATGCTGGGTCTCACATTCAAGATGAGTCTTATCGCTTGAACCTCTCTGAAAACATCCTCATAGACGCCCCCAGAAGTGTTTCCATGGTGATGTAAATCTAGCCAAGAATGATTAACCATCCCACCTGCCTTGTGGGATCAGGGTATGTGGGGGAGTGGGAACTAACACTAAGCTAATGGCAGACTAGGTAGACATGTATTTCATGTAGTCAGCAGGTACAAACCACGCAGTGCTGGAAAAAAACCACAAGAAACAGCAACAACAACCTGATACTTTTGTCTCCTAGTTAAGATAAGCATAGAAGTTTGTACTTTGGTTTCCAAGGTTCCCAACAACCAGCTCCCACAGGTTTATACCTTGGCTGTAACTGGGGAGGTTGCCTGTGTCTTGGGTGGCCTCCCGCAGCGCCAAGGCCAAGTTTTCTTGTAGGCTGACAACTGTGGCCAGCCCGGGGTCATGGGCATGGTCTCTTTGTGTTTGTTGCAGGTTCCCCCGCCTGCACAGCGCGGTGATCAGGACCTTTGTTCTTGTACAGCACTATGCCGCTGCCATGATGGCTGTGAGCGGCCTCCCGCAGATGAAGAACCACACATCGGTGGAAACACTGGAGATCACACAGAATCTACTCAACTCCCCAAAGCAGTGCCCCTGCGGCCATGGGCTCATGGTTCTGCTGCGGGTGCCTTGTTCGCCCCTGGCAGCGGTAGCTTATGAGAGGCTGGCACATGTGCGGGCGCGATTGGCCCTGGAGGAGCACTTTGAGATCATTCTGGGCAACCCCAGCTCAGGCATCACTGTGGGCAAGCACTTTGTGAAGCAGCTCAAGGTGGGTGCTGTGCTCAGGGACTGAGGAAGTCACCAAGAGACACCAGAAGGGGTGGTAGCAGCAGGCCCCCCAAGACTCGGCCACCCTTCCACCTCCTCAGCTGTTTCCCCAGCTTTTGCCCTCAGGCATCCTGGTGTCCCCCCCAACATGGCCTATAGTCTTAGTCCTCTGGTTTACAGCATGTTTTTTATTTCCTAGTGTGCCTTTCTCCTTTGCTGACTGATACTTATGCCTGCAGAATTTAGCTCAGTTTCTTTTCTCTTTTCAGGAAGCCACTTCCACACTTGGGAATCTCTATTACTGCTCAGATGGTGGAGGAGGAGCAGATCTTGGTTCCCTAAAGCCTAGAACAGTGTCTGACCTTTCACAGGCTTTCACTGTACAGCTGGCTTTCAAAGATAATTCAGTGGATAAGAGCACTTACTGCTCTTCCGGAGGTTCTATATTCAGCTTCTATCACTCAGATGGTGGCTCACGACTGTCTGTAACTCCAGCTCCAGGGAATGTAGCGCCCTCTTCTGGCCTCTGGGGGTGCTCATGCATGGTGTACTTGCATACATTCAGGCAAACCACTCAAACACATAAAATTGAAAAAAGATTTATAAAAAAGTGCAGGTAACAGAAAATGCAAAGTGGACAGGCAAATATGATTTGAAAGAACAAATAGGAAGAAGAGGTGAAGAAAAGGTACAGCACCACAAGAGAAGACAGGAAGGCAGGAAGGGGTGACCACTGTCTCCCAGAGGATTGGCCACCCTTCACTCATGCTGCTTGAGGTGCACAGGAACAGAATACTCTCACCTAACTCAAGTCACAGTGACTTGCCACATGCTTGTGTGCAGTAGAAAGCACTTTCTCTGTTTTGAAAGATGAATTTTGAGGGGCCTCAAAATCAGTGGATAGACATGAGGATGTTTTGGAGACAGGCTGATTTGGAAGTGCCACTGACACATGTTAAATGCAACTTGCAGCTGGATATGGTGGTGCACGCCTTTAATCCCAGCACTTGGAGGCAGAGGTGGGCGGATCTCTATGAGTTCAAGGCCAGCTAGGTCTACATAGTGAGTTCCAGGCCAGCTGGAGCTACAGGGAGATGCTGTCTCAAAAAAAAAAAAAGTAACTTGCACGATTGAATGTCTAGTTAGTACATCTTTTTTACGTTTATTTATTATTTTGTGTATGTATGTGCATACATGCCACATTGTACATGCAGAGACCAGAAGACAACTTGAAAGAGTTGATTCTTTCCTTCCATCATATGGATTCCAGGAATCAAACTCAGGTCATCAGTCTTGGTGGCACGCACCTTTACTAGCTGAGACATCTTGCCCACCTCAGACATTTAATCCCCAACAATGTACTTAGTTCCCTTTCAGATGGGAAAAAAAAAAACAGAGCCCCAGAGAAGCTGCACAGCTTGTAAAAGTTTCTAACCCTGGGAAGTGGAGATACTGGGGTTCAAGTCCTACTTCTGCAGCTTTCCTTCTTTTTCATATCTGTAGATGTGGCAGAAAATTGAGGATGCAGAGTGGAGGCCTCAGACTTACTTGGAGTTGGAGGGCCTGCCCTGCATCCTAATCTTCAGTGGGATGGACCCTCATGGGGAGTCCTTGCCACGGTGAGTCCTTGCCATGGTGAATTGGAGCTCAGGGCCCCTGGGGTCTTTGAAGGAGCTTGGGAGAGGAGGAAGATAGACTAAGTTATGACTGCCTGACTCTAAATGGTGCAATTTTGTACTCCTAGTCACCACAGATGGTGTATTTAGAACAGGTTTCCCCGAGAGTGTGTCTATGGTGTGGATAGCTTTCTCCAGTTCTGGAGGCTGGGGTGGCAGGTGGCAGCATCAGCCTCTGAGGGTAAATGCTTCTTGAATTCGGTTTAGGGGTCTCTGTGTGCTAGAGAGGGCAGTTCCATGTAGGATGGTGGCTGTCATCTCTGAGGTGGGACCAGTTTCACTGGTACCTAGACTATTGGAAGGCTTGTGTAGGAGGAGCTTTGGGACTGGGTGATGATGCTATTCAGATAAAGGAGGTTGTTGGGTACAAAGAGTGGGTGTCCCCATAGCTGTGTTTCTCTGGAGCCATCACAGCCACATGTCTACTCCGGGTCTCCAAGAGGTTCCAAGGTTGTATACAGACAGGAAGTCTGTATACAGGATAGGAAGTCACTGATCCTCTTCCAACATCCTTGAAGCAATGATTAAGTCTGACTCTGTTGCTGTCATATCCTTAGCTTCCAGCCCAGCCCCTGCACATGCTAAGTGTGGAATGCACAATTCAGTGTTCAGTGAATACATTCAATCTACAACATTGTACTTGGTCTATACAAATATTCAGTTCTATTGTTCAGATGGGAAAAAAAATCAGAGTTCAGGGAAGCTTCACAGCTTGTTAAAGTTTCCATCGCAAAGCAGTGGTGCTGGGGTTCAAGCTCCACTTCTGCCTGACCTGAAAGTCAGTTGTTTTGATTGCATGCACCAAGGGGTAAATCACTGGTAGGTGCCCTGGAGACTCAGTATGAGCCTAAGTTTGTTGCTAAAAGCTCACAGGAAGCTTCTCCATGTGTCTGAGCCCTGTAGTCTACAAGGAAGGCTACTCCTCTGGAGTGCCTTCTGGTGGGAGGCACAGGGTGGGTGAATACCTTCTGTTTTCCCCAGGTCTCTGAGGTACTGTGACCTTCGACTGATAAACTCTTCCTGCCTGGTAAGGACAGCCCTGGAGCAGGAGCTAGGCCTGGCTGCCTATTTTGTGAGCGATGATATCCCCTTGGAGAAGGGAACCAAGAATGAGGCTTTGGAGAGTGATGGGGAGAAGCTGAGCAGCACAGACGAGGACGAGGAGGCTGGGACAGAAGGTGAGGGAGGCCTAGCTGTACCCATGTGTCCTTGTTGCACATCCTCCTGTGCTCGGGGGTTTGGAAGCCACTTGTGTCTGTGTCAACAGCCATCCTCCAAGTGACAACATCATGAGATTCAGATTCTGCTTTTCTTCCCTCCTCCATCAATTTTGGTGGTATGGGAAGATGGACATTCCTATGGGTTCCTCTAAGATCTAGAATCTTAAAGAATAAGAAGAAAGCAGATGTCTTCAGGTTCAAGTTCACACTTTATTTACAGTGTTCGTGGAATAGGATTTGTTTGTTTATTCCCTCTGTGAAAATAAACTTACCCTCTCTGCCTGCTACTCATATGATGTGAGGAAAGAGTGCAGTCCCTCTTGGCCTCAGCTTGTCCTAGATGACAAAGCCTGCCTACCAGGCTGCTCTGTGCTGCGTCTAACTTTTAAAACATGTTTGCAGCCATGGTATTGAATGCTCCCATTTCCCTGTTGCCTGTGGTGTGATCATACTCACTGGCGTGTTCCAATCCATTCTTCAGTTGCTCTTCTCAACTTCTTTGTGAGTTCAGTCTGGCTGAGTGTGTGTGGGGGGTGGGGGACAGGGCTAAAAATAGGTGAATGAAGGAATGAGTCATGGGAGAGGAGTGATGGCTTCATGAACCCACAGTGAGGAATGGTTATCCCACTGCTTTCAGGGTGTTTTGAGGCTGGCTCTACCTCAGAGAAGAGGAGTCCTGTGAAGAGGGAGCGCTCCCGCTCCCATGACTCAGCATCTTCCTCCCGTTCCTCCAAAGCATCTGGTGAGTCCCCAGTGGGGAACATCACACACTGGGTTGCCTCCAACTTCAGAAATGGGAAGAAACACACACAGGGCTGTTTACTGATCCCAGACTTCTAGTTGGACTAGGAAAGGAAGAAAGACTTATGAGGATGGAGTCTTAGAGTAGCCTAGAATTGAACTTGACATCACATCTGAGACCTTGAAGACAGGACAGGACTGTAGGGTACAGATGTTCCTTCCTGCTGGTAGGAGAGAACTGCTCTGTCCCTGGCTGAAGCTTGGGTCAGAGTCCTGGCTATGCGGAGACACCTCCTTTGGTATCCCCCTTTGTGGATATTGACTTGAGATTGCCACTGCCTAGGGAGAGCAGGAGCTGAGGCAAGGGAGTCTTGACCAGAGAGGTGGACACAGGAAACTTCATGGGAGAAGTAACAATAACAAGAGCTTTCAACCTCTTTACCCAAGTGGAGGGTATGTAAATAAAATCTCACAAAGGCTCTACCTTGAGAGGTCCTTGGTCTCTGAGATCAGCCAAGACGTATGTATAGGAGATAGTGTCACCTGTCTTAAAGCATGTATCAAACTGGACACTCAATGTAATCCGAATCTGAATATTGAAGTGAAATTCAATATGAACACTGCTCTCAAATCCACCTATGGGGCTGGGAATGTAGCTCAGTTGGTAGAGTGCTTGCCTAGCATGCACTAAACCCTGGATTCAATCCCCAATACTGTATAAACTGGATATGGTAGCACATACTGGTAATCCTAGTACTCAGGAGGTGGAAGCAGGAGGATCAGAAATTCAAAGTCATCCTCAGCTACATAGCAAGTTTGAGACCAGATTGGGCTACATGAGACCCTGTCTCCGAAAAATAAACTAATAAGGGGAATGGGGGAGGATAGGGGACTAAGGGGAGGGTTAGCCAAACTAAGGATATATGAAAAAGTCTTATAGAAACCCACTACTTTGTAAGCTCACTAAGAAATATAATTAAAAGCAAAAAATAAATTCATCCTTGTACATACATACCATGTGATATTGCTATCTTTAATCTTTTCTGTGTACATAGTCAAACCAAGTCCTTTGCTTTGTCTCAAGCATGGTACAGATTTAGGACCTAGTGGCACCACACAGATTCCAGAAACTGACTCTCTCGGTGCTGAGACTCAGAGATGTTCCTGGGGAGGAAATGTTCTAGGTGAAAGGCTCAGGGTCTTGTAGGCTTGTGTGGGCTGTGTATGGAGCCTAGCTGAGGTCAGGGAACACCAGTGTGTGGTCTGGTAGGGGGAGTGTAAAGCCCAACAGATTTGTTTTAGCACAAGCCAGGTGGATGTGGTCTCCCCCACAAATGTGCACACCCCTTTGTATTAGCATGACACTCTAACTAAAGGAAGCTCTGATTTGTGAGTGAGGGATTAGCCAAGTACTACATTCATAGGCATCTTTGCCTAAAGCACCCAGGATGCTTGGGGTAGGAACAGGAGTGGCTGGGGCTTTTGTGGCAGGTTGTCCCTGGACATCTCTATGTTCTTCCCCTCCAGGTTCAGTGCTCTATGGTGAATCCCTGGTTCAGCCCTTGGGACCCCCACAGGGAGAGCTGGCCAGGTCACCTCCACCCTGTGGTCCTTCAGAGGAAGGCAGGACTCCTGGGGAGATGCAACGGCTCCGAGTGAGTCAGGGGTCAACAGTCATCAGCAGGAATAGCCCTGGGCTGGCCCCTCAGCCTGACTGCAGCCTTAGAACCAACCGGAGGAGCCTGCAGGTGCCAGCCACCCCATCCTCCCAGCTGTCCTCCTCGGGCTCATCCTCCACATGTGCAGTGCCCACTGCCAACATGCTAGTCCTACAGGCCTCACAGTGCTCCATGGCAAAGGCCTGCCGGCAGCCACCTGTTGTCTTCCTGCCCAAGCTTGTGTATGACATGCTCCTGTCCACCGACAGCAGTGGCCTACCCAAGGCTGCCTCCCTCCTGCCATCCCCTTCGGTTATGTGGACCAGCTCCTTCCGCCCCCTGCTCAGCAAAACGATGACATCAACTGAGCAGTCCCTCTACTACCGGCAGTGGACAGTGCCTCGGTCCAGCCACATGGATTATGGCAACCGAGCTGAGGGCCGTGTGGACAGTTTCCACCCCCGCAGGCTGCTGCTCAGTGGGCCGCCTCAGGTGGGTGCCATGACTGCTGTACCTGGCACAGGCCAGGCCTCCAGGCTGGTCATTGGAGTCACAGCCAGAGGGTCTGCTTACCCTTTGCTGCTTCCATGATTGTTCTAGATTCATTTCTATGGCTGTGATAAAATATCCTGATGAAAAACAACTCGGGAGAGAAAGGGTTTCTTTTGGCTCAAAATTTCCAGGTCACAGTCCACCATTGCAGGGAAGTCAAGGCAGCAAGAACTTGAAACACCTCGTTTTATCACTTCCACAGTCAAGAGCAAAGAGATATGATTGCATGCATGCCTACTCCTGTAAATTCAGAACCCAAACCTAGGGAATGGTGTTGCCTATACTGTGGGATTTGGCCAAAGAACTAAGAAGATGGGACCTTGAGATCACAAGAAGATATCTCTGTTAACCTGCCAGGACCCAGGGTGGAGTTATTGCCAAAAGAAACCTGGGCCCTGAGCTGGGGTCTTCCATATCATTTTATAGCAAGAAATAGCAAGCATCAGCAGCTAGCTACTCAACAGTAGCTAACAGATTGGTTTATTCTATCTCTGGGAGAAGGATGAAAAGGGAGTATTTTAAGAAAACAGACAATATTTATAGGAACAATTGTGGTCAACTTGACCTCAAACTATGTTTATATCTGGTGCCATATGAGGGTAGACAGTTGGTGGGTTTTCTTATTTTTGTAGTTTTTCTTTTTAACCATGAGTGTTGTGAGAGAAGGGTGAGGGAGGGAGGGGATTCATTTCTCCTGAGCACGTAGGAAAGGCAGCAATTGCTAAGCTACAAGGAAAATTTACTAAATTTTTTTGGGAGGGCTCATGTACTACCTACTCATAGGTTTGGTCGTCCTGAATCAATTAACATAATCAGGACAATCCTCCATAGCCATGCCCACAGATAATCTTTCATTGAGACTGTCTTCCTAGATGGTTCTAGATTATGTCAAGTTGACAGTTAAAACTACCTGTCACAATGGTGGAACCGTTCTGATGGCACAGAGTGGGCATGTGGATGGGAAGGGTGCTGTTCACTTATCATTTCTTGCTAATTTCCTTCTATTGTCTGATCTCAGTTTCCTTCTCTGCATGTGTGGGGCATAAGGATGAATTCTGGGTGGGAGTTCCTTACAATTTCAGGGTGAGATTGATCTCCCCACATAGCCGCAGTTGGCCCTGTCACCAAGGTGCTCCGTCGGCATAATTCATTAATCAGATGCATAAGTGCCAGTATGTGTGGAAGGTTTTGGTGACCTGTTATAGTCAGTGGCTGCGCTTCCTGGTTTCAGTGCACTCCTGGTTCACCATGTGTCCTTCACAGACTTTATCTATTAAAAACATGGGGAGCAGGCTGGGAAGATGGATCAGTTAGTGAAGTGCTTGTTCGGTGTAGAAGCATGAGCATCTGCTTGCCGCACCCACATAAAAAGCTGGGCAGGGCATGCATTTCTAATCCTAGTGAGGGGGAGCTGCAGACCGCAGGGTCCCTGGACTCACTGGCCAGTTAGTATAGCTGCATCAGTGAGCTCCAAGTTCAGTGAGAGACCCTATCCTAAAAAATAAGGGGGGGGAGCAATTGAGGAGGGCACTTGACATTAACTTATTAATTCTGCCTGCATGCCCATACCTACACAAGTCCAAAGGGTCTGAATGCCCCTTGTTGTAGGAGGGTGGCTTAGATTGGGATAGGCTCTTTGAAACTGAGCAGAGACTGGGAGGAGGCTCTGGGATCCAACTGCCTGGGGCCACATTTTGTTCAAATCACCTAACAAAGGTCAAATTTTGACCTCCTTTGTGTAGAGATAGATGGTGCCTAAAAGAATAGAATATTGCCTGATTTATAGATAGCACACAGTGAGCATTTCTTACATGTCATTAACAATTTAACCTGTGCTGTCTTTTCACTCAGCTTGTTCATTTTCAGGAATCCATCCCAAGGAGTACAAACCCACAAAATACATGTAAGAACATACATTTTAGTATTATTTACAACTATGAGAAATGACCCAGAAACTAAGTCTACTGGCTCAGTCTCAGCTGAACACATTTGTGGACAACTGTATCCTAGAATTCAGCTGCAGAAATTTGAGATTTCTCCAAGATATTTAACTTGAAATCAATTTGTAGGAATATATATATATATGTATATATATATATATATGTATGTATGTGTGTGTATGTGTGTACATATATAGTCATATCAGTTAGGAAAAATTCACTGTATAGGTGAACATATTAAAAGAATCTTAGGGAGGCAAACTGATAACTCATTGTCTTTGAGGGGACATGGGATTGGTAATATTGTACTTTATTACCAGTCTTTAAAATGGCTATATATTACTTTTTCTAATTTAAGAAACAGGAAAATTAGGGTTTGGAGCTAGCTTAGTTGGTGAGGTGCTTCCCATGCAAGCATGAGGAACTGAGCTCAATGCTCCAGCAACCCACATAAAAATCGGGCTGGTGGTGTGCACTTGAGATCCCAGTCCTGGAGCGTGTGTGTGTGTGTTTGTGTGTGTGTGTGTGTGTGTGTGTGTGTGTGTGTATGTGTGTAGGATCCCTGGGGCTCACTGGCTAGCCAGCCTAAGCCAAATTGGCAAGCTCTGGGTCAATGAAGAGGCTCGGTCTTACAAAACAAGGTGGGTAACATCCGAAGAGTGATACTCATGGTTCACCTCTGTCCTTTGCATGAATCCACATATATACATACCCAGATGAAAGGGAAAAGGACAGGTTTCTTAGAAAGGAGCCCCCATATGTCTTTACCTACTCACTCCTGGATCTTACCCATTTGTAGGTTTTTTGCCTATTTAATATGTGGGAAATAGTGTATTGGATTATTAATAAGATTGAGCATGGCACAATATGTCCATTGGTCATTTTCAGTAATTTTATCTTATTTTTGTGAGTGTGTAAGTGTGTGTCTCAGTGTGGGCATGTGCTTGCCACAGCATGCATGTGGAGGTTAGAGGACAACCTTGGGTGTCGATCCTCACCTTGTTTGAGACAGGTTCTTAACACTACATACACCAGGCTATCTGGCTGCCAGGCTTGTAGGGATTCTCTTGTCTCTCCCTCCTGCCTTGCCTTAGGAGCACTGGAATTACAGATGCATTGCTATAACATCAGGCTTTTATGTGGGTTCCAGGGATTCAAACTCAGGTTCTCATACTTGGGTAGCAAGTGCTTTACCCACTGAGCCATCTCCCAGCCCTCTTTTCCAATTATTTTATGTTTGTTTCTCTTTGGTTTTCCTTTAGGTAGTTTATCATTTTCTCTTTGGCATGTAAGAGCTCTTTTCATATTATAGATTTGTATCTTCTGTCTGTTATATGTATTGCAAATATATTCTCTGGAGCTCCCCCTGGTTGAAACTCATATTTTTATTATAAGAATTTCTTTTTGATTTATTTTATGTATACGAGTGTTTTGCTTGCATGTATATAAGTGCACCCATGTTGTGCAAAGCCCATGAAGGCCAGAAGAAGGCAGATCCCCTGGAACTGGAGTTACATTACAGATGGTTGTTAGCTGCCATGTGTGTGCTGGGAATTGAACTCAGGTCCTTTGAAGTAACCAGTGCTCTTAACTACTGAGCCATCTCTCCAGTCCCTCATATTTTTATCTTTAAAAGTTACTTCCATTCACCTACATTTGCTGACTTCTTATGAACCAGGAGCTGGGTTCAAGGAGCGTGGAAATCATACCTCTGGGATAACTATTGTGAGGTGGTAAGCAGAGAGGGTCTTAGGTTAGCACATGGGTACCTTTTTAATAAGTCCCAAGTAAATTATTAACAGTAAGTACTGTAGTCTGGTGCTGGGCAGAGAGAGGAGGGGGTTTTATGTTGTAGAAAGAGAAGGTAGGGTGGAGAAAATGCTTTCTTTTCCTGGATTTCAGAGGAGAGAAATGAGATGCCAGGTGTTTAACCCGTGTAATGAATTGTGAAGTCTCACATGGACGTAATGATTGGGACAGACAATTTGAAGTTGTGTAAGGCTCTTTTATGATGTCATACTTCATTTTGGTCAGTTCCTTTTATTTATTTTTTCTTTCTTTCTTTCTTTCTTTCTTTCTTTCTTTCTTTCTTTCTTTTTTTGGAACAAACTTTCTTCAACTTGTGATAAAGTCCCTTTCACAACTCACAACTTGGCTAGTTACAATGTGGTCATGCATTGCATCTGAGGTGATTTAAGTGTGGGCAGGCCTCCTGCTCCTGCAGTCTGTGGACCACCTGCCATACTGCTGTAGGTGCCTCAGGATGCTGGAGAAGTAGAAGCCAGCGTGAGGGGCAGAGAGCAGACCTGTGTCCATAGGACACAGAGAACAAGGCCTTTCCCCTGGATCCATGTCCTGGCTTTATCCGACACATCCTCAAATGTCTCGTATCCACGGGGTTCTTATTTATATGATGTACCTTTTAGTGAGATGGTAGCAGGAGGCAGGTGGCTGTTCCAGCTGTTGTCTAGTATAGGGACAGGCTTCTTGCTGCTGGGCTCTGATTCCAGTGTCTTCACAGATTGGGAAGACAGGTGCCTACCTGCAGTTCCTCAGCATTTTGTCCAGGATGTTGATTCGGCTGACAGAAGTGGATGTTTATGATGAAGAGGAGATCAATATCAGTGAGTTGTCTGCTCAGTGATCCTTGGGCTTGAGAAAATGTCCACAGACATCCATTGATGTCCCTGGTCATTTTAACTGTGTCTCTCCCTTTTATGAAGAACTTTCAGGTTCACAGTTCAGCTTGTCCTAAGGGTTTTCTCTTTCTCCTGTAGTCATTTTTCTCGATATAGAATGGTACCTCAGAGAACTTCATAGAAATAGAATGAGTAACGCTAATTAGTGCTTACCATGAGTCAGCACTGTATGAGACTTCCCCTAAATTTCCACCTTCAATGTTCGGCATAGCCCAAGGAACAGCTATTGTCTCTGACATGCTGAAGAGCCCAGCTAGGTTGTGGCAAAGCAGGAACTGGGCTGTGCTGACCTGTGGCCTGTAGAAAGTGGATTCCTGTATCAGGAGGTTCTCCCTCATCTCGGGCAACCAAACCCCCAGGGCAATATGTGGGTCCAAAAAGAATTTTATGGAATCAGGGTGGTAGTATTCTGCTTGTTGGGCAGATTTGCTCTGAGTGAGGCAAAGTTCTCTCTGAACAGCCCTGTGTGACAATAAAACATGTTCTGTTTCTCCTCATGTCCCTTCCTGTGATTCATGGCCTTGGCCTGGTAAATGAATCTGTGCCCTTCTTCTGTGAGGGGCATTAACTGCCTTGTAAAGGACACAAGCTGCCACCACACTGGCATCGGAGCAGTTCCTGTGAGCACTCTATGGGCTTGAGTTCAACATGGAGAAACTAAGAACTGAGGACTCACATCCAGACCTCTGTCATCCCCTGAGCTTGGACTTTTCTGTGGTTTCCCCACACCTGGAAGCTCTTCAGTCTCTGTCACCTTGCTTTTTCGGCTAGATCAATGATGAAGACAGGTTTTGAACCTACTTCATGAAACTTCAAACTCTGTTTTCTTAAACAACTTAAAACCCTTTAAAGTTATTTAAATTTTATGTGTATGAATATTTTGCTTACATGTATGTAAGTGCACCTGTCTCATGAAAAGGCCAGAAGAGGACATCAGATTCCCTGGAACTGGAGTTATGTATGGTTGTTATCACCATATGTGTGCTGGGAACTAAACCCAGGCCCTCTGCAAGAGCAGCCAGTGCTCTTAACCGCTAAGCCATCTCTCCAACTTGATTTAAAAAATTTTTTAAAAAATTATTTTAGGGGGCTGGAGTGATGGTTCAGCAGTTAAGAACACTGGCTGTTCTTGTAGAAGACCTGGGTTTGAATCCCAGTGCCTACATGGCAGCTAACAACTGTCCTTAGCTCCAGTTCCAGGGGATCCAACAACCTCTTCTGTCCTCTGCAGGCATTGCACGACATGAGTACACTTACATGCAAGCAATATATGCATACACATAAAATAAAAAATAAAATATTTTTAAAATTAAAAAAAATTATTTTAATTTTATGTATATGTTTTACTTGCATGTATGTAACTGCACCTGTATCATGCAACCATTTCTTAAATACTCTATCCCTTCAATATTTTTCTTGAAAAATGGGGATACTTCCTGTTTGACAGGGTATTAAGGAGATTAAATACACGCAGGAAGTACTTATTAAAGATTTAATACTCCCTGCTTTCTGTCCTTCTCATGGACATGTATACTGCCCATGTAGATGATGGGCTTCATATCTATTAGGCTGTATTACACATTCATCATAATATATAATATCAATATGTTAATGCAATTTGAGTTGAGCTAACTAGACTTTATGGCTGGCTATTCAGCCAACAAACCTTTAGTGAGTACCAGAGGTGTACCATGCTTAGTATAAAGGAAAGCTTGCAAGTGTAAAATGTGCCTTAGGCCATGAGTATTACTGGCCTCAGCAGGGGAAACCAGTGATTCGAGCACTTTTTAGAGGTAGAGTGACAACTGAGCCACTCTGGCTGAGATTTAGACAGCAGAGTTGAGAAAGAAACTTACAAAGGTATCACAGGTACAAGGAGCCATTACTGTCTATTAAGTAGATGCTGGTGAGGTGTGGGACTGGCCAGGGCTCAGAACTCAGGAGGAGCAGCAGTCAGTGTGAGGGGGAAGACCTGTGTCTTGAGGAAACAATGAAAGGCTGGGTGTACACAGACCTAAGTGCATGTTCTTGCTTTGTTAGAGCATCCTGGGTGTCAGGATGTAGAGCAAAATGGGTGTCAGAGCCTTCTAGATACAAGAAGAGTCCCCAGGAACCCATAGGTCAATAATGATTCAGTTCCATGTATCACTCTTGGGCAGAGTTAAGATAAATCATTCTCACCTCCTATTTCTCCTGCATTTGTGTTTCTGCCAATCTGGTAGGCCTCCAAGAAGAATCAGATTGGCATTACCTCCAGCTCACTGATCCCTGGCCAGACCTGGAGCTCTTCCAGAAGATGCCTTTTGACTACATCATTCATGACCCGAAGTATGAGGATGCCAGTCTGATTTGTTCCCATCATCAGAGCATCAAGAGTGAAGGTCAGGGGCTGGGGAGATGGCTTAGTAAGTAAACTGATTGCTGTACACATAAGACCTGAGTTCAGATCCCTACCATCATGTAAATGATGGGAATGGTAGTGCACATATGTAAAACTCTAGTGCTGTTGGGGAGGGGGCAGAGACAGATGGATCCTAGAGACCTTCTGGCCAGCTAGTCTAGCCAGTAGATGAGTTCCAGTTTCAGGGAGAGACCTTGTCTCAAAAAAGAAGATGGAGAAACTATTGAGAAAGATATCCCATTGCCAACCTCTGGCCTCCACATGCACCTGTGTGGGCAAGTGTACTAACCCACACATGTACATAACACCACATGCAGACACACACACATACAGACATGCACACACACACACACACACACACACACACACACACACAGAGAGACATGCACTATGAAGGACAGATTGAATCTCTTACTTCACTTCTACCCAAAGTACATCACGGCTTATCTATAATAGAATCCAGCTGGGCTGAGCTACATCTTCTTAGTGATGCTCTTTGGTGGTGATGAGGGACCTAACCAGAGCCTGATTCAGAACTGAGACCGCCTCCTGCCTGTAGAAGGAAAAAGCCACCACACAGCCCATGAAAGGTAGACTTGCTGCTCAGAAAGCTGTGAGTAGCGATGAGACACTTGTTTGCTGACTTGGCATGGTCAGGATAGGTTGAAGGGTTGGTGAATGGATGGTAAAAGATGTGTATTTCTACCTATGAATTCGCTACTGTTGTCACCAAATGGATTTCATGTGTTCCCCTGTTCTTGGCCTCTTGCTTTTTCCTAGGGCCACCAACTTCCATGGTATGTGAAGGCAGCAGAAGTCAACATTGCTGGAAGTGGCCAGTGAGATAATTAGCATAGACTAAGAAAGTCTGTTTAAATGCAGTGTCAGAAAAATGCTCACCTAGAAACCAGGTGTGTGGTACACACCTGTAATCTCAGCACTCAGGAGGCTGGGGCAGGAGGATCAAAAGTTGGAGGCCAGCCAGGGCTATCTAGTGAGACCCTATGGCTTCCTGTCACTGAGGGTCCTTTCCATAGACGAGTATCTAATGAAGGTTCAGTGTCACTGTTACTCCTGTCAAGTTGCTTGAAAACCTGGGGATGATGCAGTGTCATTGATTTTGCTTGTCATGTTCGTGTTCCTTAAATGGGTTTGTTTATGAAGCATTTTTAGAGCCATAAGTACAATGCAGTACAGTCTGAGCTCTCTCCTTGTTAGTTTCCCCACTGAGACTCTTCTCTCACCTGCTGCTACCTCAGGGCAGGCAGAGCCTGCATATTTTGAGAGTGTCACTCACTTGAATTTGGGAAGCAACAGTGGGTGAAGTGTTTGTTTTGCCTCCTGCTGCTCCTTAACTCTATGAATGTCTTTGCAGATAGAGGGATGTCCCGGAAGCCTGAAGACCTGTACATGCGGCGTCAGACTGCACGTATGAGATTGTCCAAGTTCGCGGCGTACAACACGTACCACCACTGTGAGCAGTGCCACCAGTACATGGGCTTCCACCCCCACTACCAGGTAGGCCTCGGGCACTGGCCAGCTCTCTGCTTCTAGCAGCTCTGTGACACTCTGGCCCATGTGTCTGTTTCCCTGTGGTCTCCTGACAGTGTTTCAGAGTGGGAGATGAGAGTTCTGGAAGGCCTTGCTTCTTGATCTGCAGGTGTGCCTGGCTCCCTCATAGGCTATAAGTCCATTGCTGACACTACAGAACAGCGATGCCTCTGGGGGGCCCTTCAGACATCAGTGGCCAAACTCACTAACTATGGGTGTCATTGTTGTCTTTAGGTCCTAGAGAATCCAAAAGTTACTTCAGTGCCAGGAATACTTACCAAGTGCTTATTATAGGACCTGGGATGCAGACCCCCATCATTAGAGTTCATAGTCTGGAAGGGAGATGGGCATCTGAACAAGATTTCAGAACTCTATGAAGCAGGAAGGAGAGGCTAGATGGTTGTAGCAGAGAAATCACATCAATAAGGGGAGAAATTTGTAGTACTGAGTATCTACTATATGCCTAGGCCCTTCTTATTCATCAGTCCTTCCTGATATCTATAGATGGGTAAGGCCCCTGCTGAGGGCTCTGGCTGTCTCAGATCTGGCTGATCACCATAGTACTGTGTCTAAACCATGCCTATAATCCATTCAAGGTACACTGGCTAGGAAACTATCCTGTCTAGGTTCTTAATGAGTCCTTACCTAAGCCTCATTATCTCTGCTTTACAAATGAAGACATAGCTTTGGCACCCCTAGTTAGAAAGTCCAAAAGCCATCACTAACACGATGCTCAAAATGTTTCAGATCTTACAGCCTTTGGGATTTTGGAGTATGGATGCCCAGCTGGAGAAGTCTATGCAAACATTCTAAAATCTCAAAAACTCCTAAATCTAAAATATCCCTAGGCTCAAGCATTTGAGATATGGGACACCCAACCTTTATAATTCAGATGGGAGCAGAGAAAGAATTTTGAAGGATCACTAAGAATTTGCTGATGGGCCAAGGCAGGTGAAATGGGAAGGAACAGTATGTACAAAAGAGGGGGTAAGAAAGGCCTCTAGGGATGAGAAGTGATCTTGCTTGGGTGTGGTTAGAGGACATAAGATAAGGGATAGATGGCCTGAGGAAGGAGCCAGGAGGGTGGGAGAGACCAGGTCATGAAGGCCTTGGGTACTGGGGTTCTTTAGTGAGCTCTGAGGAGGGGCTGTGGGTAAGGTTGCAGTCTGGATGGTCTCTCCCTAACCATAGGCCTTCACAGACGACCCATGAAACTGGGTATTCCTAAGCAGGTAGGCGGTAGTATTTTAGACTTAAGAGTTTCTTTTCATTTTGAACCCAAGGGAGGGAGGAAGAAGTAGAGGGCGAGAGCAATGGGGAGCCAGGGGTACCTCCTCACACAGCAGGGAACAGAAACCCTTGGTGCTTCTGGGAAGGTTGGAGGCAAAGTCTCCAGCTTGCTGTCTTGTTCTGTTTACAGAAGGAAATAACATTCAGTGGCTTTATTTTTCCCAAGTCACCCTGGCCCTCAGCTCAGCTGCTCAAAAGGCAGAACATTCAGTGGCTTTATTTTTCCCAAGTCACCCTGGCCCTCAGCTCAGCTGCTCAAAAGGCAGCTCCTTTCTTCTTTAGCACTATATATTTTCAAGTGTGTGATTATACTATGGGTGACATTAGGAAGCATTTCTTTTTAACTTTTACAAAAGCTTTATTGAGAATTTCATACATGCATATAAGGTGTTTTGATGAAATCCATGCCCACTCCCTCCCCTCCAACATTCCCCCCTCTGAAGAAGTAACCCTAAAATCTTTTAAGGATTAGATACAAGCTCCCAAATACTTTTGACATTTTTGGCCTTTGGAACAGAGTGTGTTGCTAACAGGCCCAAGGACATTTTGACTTTTGGCTCAGAAACTGGCTTGATTTCTTTGGGGTCTTTTTACCCTAACTGCCTAGCCAATTCCTACCTCCTATTCTTATCACGCTATCCTCTGGAGGGGTTACCCAAATTGCCAGTAGGGAATAGGGACACAGACCACTCTGGCTTCTTCCATGCTGATGCAGGGTGAGGCAATTGGATAATCCCCCTTCAGTGTGTTTATCTAAAAGACTCCCAAATTGCATAACTCTTGTCTGTAAGGGGAAAAGAAAGTCCTTGAATCATGAATAGGAGATGTGAAGAAGTAAAGGCAAGAGTATTTAGCATTACAAGTTCTATACAGGGAACTAGAAAAAAGTCACAACAGGGCAATTTTCAGTCATTGAATCATGAATGGGAGATGTGAAGGAGAAGTAAAGGCAAGAGTAATTAGCATTACAAGTTCTATACAGGGAACTAGAAAAAAGTCACAACAGGGCAATTTTCAAATGGCCCATAATAATTAGTAATACCAGATAAAGGAACAACCCTCCCCCTCCCATGCATACTTTGGAGGTGAAGCTTTTGTTTGAAGGATTAAACCAATAGACATGTGAAACTTTTTTTTTTTTTTTTGACTTTTGACTTTTAAAGAACTGGGAAAAGGACTCGTGGGTTTTAGTCACTAGTTATGGTGGTGACTTTTAACAGTAAATTGTTACTTAAAGTTTGCAGCCATTCTTCCCTTTCCACCGCAATAGTGGAAGCCCAGAGCACAGGAGGCAGGAAGGAGAGCCCTCTTGTGTTTGGATGGTGGAGTGACTCCTGGTTAAATAGGAGCCAGCCTGGGATGGTGAGGGGACCTAGAGCCAGGCTGGTGAGGAATGCAGAGGCACCAGCCATTTCCCAGCTGCTGTTTCTGCTCCCTGTACCTCTGCTCCTTCTTGTCTTTCCTTTGTCTCCCAATGCTCCTCTATTAAAAAAAAAAATCCTCCCATGTATCCACCTTCGCTACCCTAGCCCCACCAGATCAGATCCCTTACTCCCTAGAAGAGTCTGTGACTCTGGCAGAGCCCTGGTGGGAACACGAGGCAGTGTGCACTGGGCTGCCACCTCCCTCTGCAGCTTTGGTGTGTACAACACACAGGAGGTCTGTCAGAGGGAGAGACAAAGCTCAGGGAGGGCCCCAAAAGGCTGCCCAAGCCAAGAACAAAGCTGGGCTGGGATCACTCATGTATACGCACAAACAGCCATGTGGGCTATGAGATTAGATTTGGGGACAGGAGTAATTGTGCCTCCTAGGAATGGCAATTCTTCCTAGGATTGTTAGTGAAAATGCAAAGGGGATAGAAGGAATGGTGCCTGACACAGGCTTTTATGTATTGAAGCATACAAGCTTGTATAGTTGTTATTGTTCTGTTAATATGCCAGTGTACAAGACACATTCAGCAGAAAGCACACCTGTTAGAATGGAAAAAGAAAGCTAGGCCAGTGGCCCAGGCCTGTAATTCCAGTTACAATGGAAGCTGAGGCAGGAGGATTGCAAGTTCAAGGCCTGTCTAAGCAACTTTAGACACTAACTCAAAAATTAAAAAATGGGCTATGGACAAAACTCAGTGGTAGAGCACTTGTCTAACACATGCAAGGCCCTACTTTAATCCTCTGTACTCAAAAAAAAAAAAAAAAAAGGATTAAAGATAAACTCTTGGGCTGGTATGCTACTTCAATTGTTAAAGCCCTTGCCTTGAAAGCAATCAAGACCTGAGTTCAGTCCTCAGAATCTACATTAAAAAGCCGGACACTGGTGTTGCACACTTGTAATCCCAGTGCTGGGAAAGCGGAGATAGGCAGATCTCTGAGGCTCCCTGGCCAGCCCATCTAGCTTACATGGAGCATTTCAGGCCCATGGAAGACTGTCTCAGGAAAATAAAGTAGACAGTGCCAGAGGAATGACACCAGAGATTATCCTCTGGCCTCCACATGTACACATGTACACATATGCACATGTACTTATGCAAAATGAGATCTGCATGAACACTTTATTTGGTGACCCAGAATGGGTCTCTAGGTCAAGCTCTGAGAACAGAAATGCTTGGTGATGGAAAGGATAGAGCTGGGCAAGCATGACCAGGATTCAGGCTGGAACCAGGCTCTGGGTGTACGGGGGACGCTCGGTAGCACTTTGATGTGCTCGGCCAGTAGCCAGACCTGGATGTCAAAGTTCTGTGCTGTGGTCTCTCATGCTGTGTGGCAGAGGTGGGTGAGATCTGGGTATTGTCATGGCCAGGATGGGCCTGGGTTCTTTGGGGAAGTAAGCTGGACTCTGATGATAAGCTCTGTCCTTTCCCCTCACACCTCAGCTCTATGAGTCCACCCTGCACGCCTTTGCCTTCTCTTACTCCATGCTAGGAGAGGAGATCCAACTCCATTTCATCATCCCCAAGTCCAAGGAGCACCACTTTGTCTTCAGCCAACCTGGAGGCCAGCTGGAAAGCATGCGCTTGCCCCTCGTCACAGACAAGGTACTGGCTTAGAATTCCAGTGGGCTTGGTTGGTCACTGATCTGGGGACCTAGATACATAGCTGCCCAAGGAGTCAAGGGCATGTGAAGCAGGTCACATACAATATGATTGAACTTGGAGGAGGCTGGTGAGGTCTGGGCTTGGTAGTTACTCACACTTGAGTGTAAGCCTTGTAGCACTTGCTAGTTTGGTTGCTTGCCACTTAACATCACTGAGCCTCAGTTTCCTCACTTATAAAGGTGGGCAATAGCAATTCTTTTTAAAAAGCTTGTTGGTGGGGATGAGGATATGGCTTAGTTGTTGGAGTGCTTACCTAACATGCACAAAGCCCTGAGTTCAGTCCCCAGCACTGCAGAAAATGGGTATAGTGGTGCATGCTTGTAACCCCAGCACTAGGAAAGCGGAGGTAGGAAGATCATGATTTCAAGGCTATGTAGGAGTTTAAGGCCAACTTGGGCTACATGAGACCCTATCTCAAAAACAGACGCAAAAAGTTTGCTGTGAGAATTCTTTTAAAAATATTTTAGTTATTTTATTATTCTTATTTTATGTGTATGAGTGTATTGCCTATGTATGTAAGTGTACCTGCGTTGTGCAATGCCTGTGGAGGTTGCCAGCAGAGCCCTAAGTAATCAATCTAAGCTTTTCAAAGTTAACTACCTTGGGGGGCGAAGCTCTCTGAAGACCTGTCAGGAGGCAAGTGATCATGTGGGCCCTGGCTGCTCTACCTGGGGAAGGTCCTGCCTGACCTCCTGGTGGGGGTTGGTAATCCCACCCAGGGTCCTGAAGGGGAACTGCCTCACTGCCAATAGGGTGAGCTTGGTTAGTAGAATGAAGCTCATTAGCATATTCCTGTGCTGCTGTCCAGACCCTATGTCTCTCATCAGGGGTGAGGGTAGACTGGAGAATCATAAAGAGATCATGCCAGGTTAGATCATAGCTGTGAGTAATATATTTAAATTCTTGTATGAAGTGTGTAGGATTAGTAGAAAAAGAGCCTATTCTGCACTTGAGCTGAGCTAGAGCTCCAAAGGCACATGGACTTTGATGACCCCATCTATGTCTGACACCTCCCGGAGGGGAAAAACACCATGGGAAGGGAGCTGAGGCTGAGTGTGGGAGCAGGTATGGCTTGACACAGGAGAGGGATTGGGAGGGGGTAGAGAAGGGGAGTCCTAGGAGGAGGGTGAAGTGGGAGAGGTGGGAGGGGTGCCCTGTCCATGAGAGGATGCAGGGGCAGGTGTATCTGAGGCAGGGTATGGAATTGAAGTAGAAGCAGATACAGGAGGGATAAATGGGGTATTTGAGGTAGGAGTCTGACTAGGGGAGACTAGGGAATATTTGGTAAGGAGATGTTTAAGATTTTGGATTTCCTTGAATAAAGGGGAGTCAGGAGAGTGAGTGCCAGACTCAGAATGCTGGGGAGGGGGTGGGGAAGATCATGGAGAGGGAGTTTGAGGCAGAGAAGGGAGGGGAGTCCGGCTGGCCCCTGAACTGGAAGGCAAGGGAGGGTATAGTGATGGGAGAGCAGAGGGAGGACTTGGCTGTGCCTCAGCCTCGGGAGCGGGAGGAGGTTGGGGCTGGCTTCTAATCAGGGGCAATTAATCAGCTATGGAAGGATCAAAAGCAGAGGTGGAGGGGTAGGGAGGAGGGGGAGGGGCAGAGGCCCCTGGTAGACTGGGATCTGGTGAAACTGTCTCAGCCAGAAGCAAGAACATTTGACACAGAGGGAGGGATTAGCATGGAGGTCAAGAAAGGCATGGATGTAGGGAAGTTCAGACTGCTTGCCATTATGCTGGCAGAAGTTTTCTAAATCTTTTAAAATATTGAGGTCTAAGGTTCCAGTGTTTGGCCAAACAGAGTTATTATCTAGTTTGTACTGAGGCCAGGAAGTGGTGCAAAAGAATTTTAGGCGTTTTGATCTGATAGTATGAGACAATCCTAGCTTTTTTAAGGATTTAAGTAAGCAGGCCAAAGGCGTCTGACCCTGAGGTTTTGAGTGTTTGGTACCCATAGCAACGGATTAGGCAGAAAGGGAAAGAAGAGTTAAAGACCTCAGCTGGTGGGTAGGGGAACAAGGAGGAACTTTTTGACCTCAGCGGACAGAGGTGGAGTTGGGGGGGGAGAGAGAGAGAGAGAGAGAGAGAGAGAGAGAGAGAGAGAGAGTGTGTGTGCTGACCTCATCTATTTTCAAAAATGTCAATTTAAATAATACAAATACTTTCTCTGGTGATATATCAATAATGAGGAATGCAAAA